GACCCTGAGGGATGGGATGGGGAGGGAGGTGGGTGGGGGTTCAGGATGGGGAACACATGTGCACCCATGGTTGATTCATGTCGATGTTTGGCAAAAACCACTACAATATTGTAATTAGCCTCCAATTAAAACAAATACATTTTTTTGAAAAATAAAGGCTTTAGAGAGGGGAAAAAAAGAGGGCTCACAAGAGAGGGTCGTCAGCATCATGGTACATTGAGATACTCTCTCGGTCTCTGGTCTTCAATCTACAATTAGTATAACATCCACAGCTCAACAGATGTGGCTCTCCCCAACACACCAGGATACTGGAGAATTCCACACATCCATACATCTAAAGAGAGATGGACTGGAGCACACAGAGGAGGCTGCACTGGGAGACTGTGGAGGTTTGCCTGTGATCCTGGTCCCCCTGGGGTGGCAGCTGAGCCCACAGCCTCAAAGAACCCAGCAGCAGGAGGAGAGGTGAAACCCACGACCTTCTGGCCACTAGCCAACCGTGGGTGACCAGCAGCAGTGGAAGTGGGGCCTGAGACCATCTCTCCAGCTGCAGAGGCACCCATAACTCCCCCTGTCAATGCAGCCCACAGTGGCAGCACCCAGGAATCTGACGACACCCCACTCCTCCCAGCTCTCCCCCTCCCTGCATGCAGTGGAACCTGTGACTCAGGAGATTTTGGACCAGGCCAAAGTGCCCCAGAGCCCCAGGCAGTGACATCAACAGCAGCAAGGTACAGCCACCCTAGAAGTACAGGCAGTGACACCAAGGGTGCCTGTCAGAGCCAGAGAGGGTAGGCAGTGCCAACTCCCAAAGGTAACCAGAGCTAGCGCAGGAAAGAGAGACCAAAGACTTAAGCTATAGATGCCATCTCCTGGAAAACAAAAGAAAGGCCTCTAATTTCTAACCCATTGAGTCATTAGAACCAAGAAAAATTAAAACAAAGCATCTTCACCTAAAGAAGGAAGCCCTTTTGCTACTTCAGATGCAGTGTGCCGAGGAACAACTAAGGCACCGAGGGTGAGCCACAGTAACAATACCACAAAAAGAAAACGGCAGTTCTCCAGAAACTAGACTTAACCTCCATGGAATACTGAGATCTAGCTGACAGTACATTCAAAATAGCCATCATAAAGAAATTCAAGGAGCTCTGAGAAAGCTCAGAAAGGCAATTCAATGAGCTAAGGAATCAAGTGTATTGACAGAAGGAACATTTTGCCAAAATGTTGAAACTCCAAAAAAAGAACCAAACAAATTCTGGACCTGAAGAACTCAACAATTAACAAGATGAAGAAGGGATTAGAAAGCCTTGGAAACAGAGCAGACCATTTGGAAGAGAGGATTAACAAGCTTAAGGATAGAAATCTAATAGAAATGAAACAGGTAGAAGAGGAAAGAGCATCTTTAAAAGTGAGGAAATTCTGTGAGAGCTGCGCAACTCTTTTAGGAAGGACAATGGTAGGGTAATGGGAAATCCCAGAGGGAGAGGCAAGGGGAAAGGAGTAGAGAATTTACTTAAAGAAATAATAGCTGAGGGACTTCCCTGGTGGTCCAGTGGTTAAGATTTCACCCTTCCAGTGCAGGGGGCATAGGTTCCATCCCTGGGCAGGGTATTATGATCTCATATGTCACAAGAGATGGCCAAAAAATAAATATAAATAAGGATTACTAAAACCAAGAGCATATCAGTGATGTAAAAAGATTAAGGTGTTTTTTTTTTTAAATAGCTAACCTAAAAAAATAGCAAACCTGAGAAAAGAACTGTACGTACAAATCTATGAAGCTAAGAAATCATTGCTAGTAGATCTTCTCTAAGACATGTGATATTAACACTGTCAAAAATCAACGACAAAGAGGTGTTAAATACAATGTGATACTCTGGACTGGATATTGGAAAAGAAAAAGGACCTTAATGTGAAAACTAGTAAAATCCGGAGTTTAGTTAATAGCAGTGCATTTGTATTGTTTTAACAAGTGTGCCATGGTATACAAGACATTAACATTAAGGGACCCTGGGTGAGAGGTATAGAGAACTCTTAGTGCTTATAACTTTTTCGTAAATCTAAAATTATTCCAGAATAAAAATTTTATTAAAGATAAAAACATTTAAAAAGGGAAAAAAGGATGGTTATCTATAAAGGAATCCCCATTAGGGATCGGCAGATTTTTCAGCTGTAACTATAGGCCAGGAGGGAATGGAATAAAATTCTCAAAATAGTGAAAGATAAAAACTGTCAGTCAAAACTACTTTATCCAGAAAAGTTATCATTCATATATGAAGGAGAAATAAAGACTTTCTCAGACTGAAGAGACTTGCAGCAGCAGCAGCAGCAGACAGACAAAAGCTGAAGGAGTTCATTACACTAGACCTTGCTTACAAGAGATGTTGAAATGAGCTCTTATGCCCAAAATAAAAATGTAGAATACACAAAACTTTGAGTAAGGTGATAAATAGAGTCAGAAAATTGCAACTTTATGTCAGAATAGATTATTTACACTGTATTATGCCATAAATGTCAAGGGGGAAAAAAGCAGAAAAAGTTACTATAAATACTTTAAATTGGTAATAAATTTACAACATTAAAAGGGATAATTTGAGACAGCAAAAACAAAAGAGGAAGAGGAAAAGGACAGAACCTGTATAGGCATATGAAGATCAGATGCTGTCAGCAGAGAAAAAGGACTGTTTTATCTATAAGATGTTTTAGACAAACCTCATGATAACCACAAAGTAAAGATCTAGAGCAAAGATGTGAAACATAAAAAAGAGAAACATCATAGAAAACCACCAAACCAGAACAGCAGACAGAAACACAAGAAAAAGAAACAGTGGAGATACAGAGCAATCAGAAAATCAAAGATAAAACCAAGTTCTCATCTGTCAAGAATCATCCTAAATGTACATGGATTTAATTCATCAAAAAGCAGATTGGTTGGGGCTTCCCTGGTGGTGCACTGGTTGAAAATTCACCTCCCGATGCAGTGGACATGGGTTCAATCCCTGTTCCAGGAAGAACCCACATGCCTCAGAGCAGCTAAGCCCATGGACCACAGCTATGGAGCAGGCAGCTCCAGAGCCCATGAACCTCAGAGAGAGAAGCCCCTGCAACGAGAAGCACACCTCAGCGAAGAATGGCCCCTGCTCTCCAAAACTAGAGAAAACTTGAGCAGCAAATAAGACTCAGCACAGTCAAAAGTAAATAAGTGTGAGTGAAAGTCGCTCAGTAGTGTCCAACTCTTTGTGACCCCATGGACTATACAGTCCATGGAAATCTCCAGGCCAGAATACAGGAGTGGGTAGCCTTTCCCTTCTCCAGGGGATCTTCCCAACCCAAGGATCGAACCCAGGTCTCCTGCATTGCAGGCGGATTCTTTACCAGCTGAGCCTCTAGGGAAGCCCAAGAATACTGGAGTGGGTAACCTCTCCCTTCTCCAGCGGATCTTCCCCACTCTGGATTCGACCAGGGTCTCCTGCATTGCGGGCAGATTCTTTACTAACTGAGCTATGAGGGAAGCCCTCATACCTCATAACTCAACAAAGAGTAGTCCCTGCTCTCCAAAACTAGAGAAAGCTTGCATGCAGCAAATAAGACTCAGCACAGTCAAAAATAAATAAATAAATCTTAAAAAAAAAAGAGAAAAGAGCGGTTGGATGGATTAAAAAGCAAGACCTCCCTGCACTCTGAAAGAGATATATTAAAAACAAGATCCAACTGTCTACTCCCTCCAGGAAACTCACTTCAGCTTTTAAAGATAAACGTAGACTCAAAATGAAAGGATGGAAGATGATGTCCAAAGCAAATGGTAGCTAAGGGAAATTGAATGTAGCTAGATTCATATCTGACAAAATAGACTCCAAACTCCAAATCAAAAAAGGTAATAAGAGACAAAGATGGCCATATAAAAACAATAAATTTAATTTACAACAAAGGAGCAAAGAACATACAGTAGAAAAACTGTAGTTTCTTCAATAAATGGTGATGGGGGAGCTGGACAGCCACATGCCAAAAAAAAAAATAAAACAGGAAACTAGATCAGTATTTCACACCATACACAGAAGTTAATGCAAAATGGATTCAAGACTTGAATGTTAGACCTGAAACCATAAAAGTTTTAGAACTAATCATAGGCAGTATAATTAGTGAATTGACCTTAGCAATATCTTTGGGTATGTGTCGTCAGGCAAGGAAAACAAAAGCAAAAATAAATGGGACCTCATCAAACTAAGAAGTTTTTGCACAGTGGAGGAAACTATCTACAACCTGCCAACTGGGAAAAGATGTTTGCAAACCACATAACCAATAAGGGGTTAGTATCCAAAATATATACAGAATTCATACAATTCAATAACAACAAAAAATTATCTAATTAAAAAATTGGCAAAGGAACTGAATAGACATTTTTCCAAAGAAGACATACAGGTGGCCAACAGGCAAATGAAAAGATGTTCAACATTGCTAATTGTTAGAGAAATGTAAATCAAAACCACAATGAATTTATCACCTCATACTGGTCAGAATGGCTCTCATCAAAAAGCCTACAAATAATGAATGTTGGAGAGGGTGTGGAGAAAAGGGAATGCTCCTATACTGTTGGTGGGAATGTAAATTGGTGCACCTACTGTGGAGAACAGCATGGAGAGTCCTCAAAAAATAAAGAACACATATGATCCAGCTATTCCACTTCCAGGTATTTATCCCCAAAATACAAAAACACTAATTTGAAAAAAGTATATGCACCCCTATGTTCATCATAGCATTATTTACAATAACCAAGACATGGAAACAACCTAAGTGGCTATCAATGGATAAATGGATAAAGAAGATATTTCATATATTTCCAATAGAATACTACTCAGTCATAAATAAGATGAAATTTCGCCATTTGTGGCAACATGGATGGGTGGATCGTGAGGGTATTATGCTAAGTAAAATAAGTCAGATGGGGAAAAACAAATATGATTTCATTCATATATGGAGTACAATAAAACCCAAACAAATAAAAACCAAAAAATAAATGAACAAAATAAGTGAAATGAGTAAAATGGATCAACTGTGTGGTGATAAATGGAAACTAAATGTTTGGTGGTGAGTATGCTGTAGTGTAAACAGAAGTAGAAATGTAATATACACAATGAGGTTTACATAATGTTAAAAACCAACATTATCTCAAAAATAATTTTTTAAAATGTCTTTGCAGATTTAGGGTAATGAATAACTTTGTTTTAATTCATTTGAAGTCAAAGGAAATATCTTGTATGTATTCAGAAAAGTTTGTGTCATAGATGATGATAAGAGTGTCAATGTTTACTTTTTTTTATAGAAGTATAAAACATATACCATACCTGCTGTGCTGCTAAGTGCAGGACATACATTCTGCAACCAATACTTAAGTATTTTTGTTAATTATATATTAGTGTTGTATGTACACATCACCCCTGTTATTTCAGAGCTGAGAAAACCGAATTTAGGGATCCAGGGTTCAAGGGCAGCTCTCTCTGACCTCAAAGCTCACGATCTTTGTACTCTTTCAGACTTATTTTATTTACTGTAATTTACAGATTGCAGGTTCTTCCAAAGGAGTACAGAATTCTATGGATATTCCTGAGATGTCAGTCAGGCACCAAAAGGAAGTCCCAGAAAAAGGCAGGTGGAGTCCACAGATGGTCTCAACTTGGGCTCCTGCAGGCGTTTGTTGGAGTGGTGGAGCATCTCAGGAGGCCTGCATGACACCTGATGCAGAGCAGAGCTTGGAAAGCTTACAACCTCTGGAAGAGGACATGGCTTTAAATGAAGTCCTACAGAAATTAAAACGTACCAACAAAGAACAGGAAACTCGGATCCAAGACCTAGAGCGTTGTAACTCGTATTTAGAGAAGAAGGTTGAAGAACTACAGATGACTACGACTAAACAGCACGTGTTTGTGGACATCATTAATAAGCTAAAGGAGAAGATCGAAGAGTTAATTGAAGAAAAGTACAGAATAAAGCTAGAGAAGAGTGATACAGAGAAGACACTCCAGGGTGTGCATGAGATTTTAGTTACCACCCAAAACCACCTTCAGGAATACCAGAGTGAAAAGGAAACCTTACAGTTAGAGTTTAAGAAACTCAAGGGCAATTATGTGAGTCTACAGGAAAGGTACATGACTCAGTGCATGGAGATGGACAGTGCCTTGAGCAAGAAAGAAGAAGAGATAGAGAGACTGCAGCAACTCAGAGGAGAACTGGAAAAGGCCACCATTGCCGCTCTGGACTTGCTGAAAAGGGAGAGGGAGACCAGAGAGCAAGAGTTCCTGTCTTTACGAGAGGAATTTCAGAAATGTGAAAGGGAACACCTGGATGAAAGAGAGAAATTGAAATCTAAACTTGAGAAATTGGTCGCTCAGGTTCAGAATGTACAATTCCTATCCAACGGTGAAAAGGCTAAGAATGCAGAACTCCAGCAGCAGATCAACAAAGTAAAAAATGAAAACACAAAACTTCAGCAGCAGGTTGCAAGGAATGAGGAGCAAAATTGTGTCCCTAAATGTGAGATAGCTGGACTCAAGGATAACTTAGAGGATGTAATAGAGTCAGATGTGGCCAAGGTATTATCACAAATTCAGAATCTCTAAGGCGGAATTTCAGGAGCTTCTAATAGTCTGCTGAGGCGTATTTGGGCATGGCCCATACCCTAATTTGTTGGTGGAGAGAATTAACAACCAAAAAGAGAGAGACAATGGAGAAGGCACCATAGGTTTGGAGGAGTTTCTTTGGGTCTCAGATACTCACATTAAAGAACAGCCATTCTTGGCCTCTTGCGATTATATTGGTAGAGTTGCAAATGAATGTGGGAATTTCGTGGGTACCTAGGAGTCTGGTCAGCTGCTGTCCATAGTGTCGCAAAAAGTCGGACACGACTAAAGCGACTTAGCACACACAGACACGCGTGCATGAGCAATCATCCACAGCTTCCCCTGAGAAAAGAATTTCTGAGTGGGAATCCCGGTCTTTTCATGCCATGTCTGCCTATTCAACAGTAAAACTAAATAATACAGCTGCATATTTGGTTTACAAGGCAAAACCTACATTGTATCACACAGTAATTTTGTAAAGTTATAAACATTTTTACTGAGATGGCATACTATATTAGTTTTAGGTATACAGCATAAAGCTTCAATATTTGTATATATTGCAAAATGATCATCAAATATATCTACTTAACATTGGTTAAGAACAATATGAGAGCCTCATATCAATGTGTTTGGAGAACCTGTAATTTTGTATTTGCAGTTTAGATGGCTTTTTTGGTAGACAACTGGAAGCCAGATAGGGATAATCTTCACAGGCCAGAGCACATCTGCTCTATTTCAGTTTTGTAGGCCTGCCTTAAAATATCTGTAGCACAATCTTATTAACTCTGCTACTGCTGCTGCTAAGTCACTTCAGTCGTGTCCGACTCTCTGCGACTCCATAGATGGCAGCCCACCAGGCTCCCCCGTCCCTGGGATTCTCCAGGCAAAAACACTGGAGTGGGTTGCCATTTCCTTCTCCAATGTGTGAAAGTGAAGTCGCTCAGTCGTGTCCAACTCTTAGTGACCCCATGCACCGCAGCCTACCAGGCTCCTCCATCCATGGGATTTTCCAGGCAAGAGTACTGGGGTGCGGTGCCATTGCCTTCTCCGTATTAACTCTATTAGTAGGCTAATCTGAGTCAGAAAAATGTATACGTTTACTTTTATATTTGTCATAATAACTTAAACTGAGTTGATCTGTTGCTCAAAGATGTCCTTAGAAGACTTTCTTTTGTGAATCTCTAATCAGTATTAAGTATTGTTTGCAAGGCAAGGATTCTATTATTTTTAATGGCTCTTAGAGAAATACTGTTTTCATAGGACTAAAAATTCTGTCATCTTTTCTCCAGAAAGAAGGAAGGATTATCTAAGCTAGTGTAGTTCTCAGACTTTAGCGTTAGTCAGCCTCAGCTGTGAAAAAGCAGATTGCAGGGGCCACCCCAGAATCTCTGATTCAGCAGGTGTGAGGTGGGGCCTGGGCATGTGTGTCTCCAGGGAGATCTTGGGGTCTCCCTGATGCTTCTGGCCCCAGGGTTACGCTTTGAGAACTACTGACCTAAGCAGGTCAGGAAGATCCCTTGGAGAAGGGACCGGCAACCCACTCCAGTATTCTTGTCAGAAAACTCCCATGGACAGAGGAGCCTGGCGGGCTACAATCCAGGGGGTCAGAAAGAGTCGGAACATGGCTGAGTGACTAACACTTTCGTTTTCACTTTCAGCCTAAGCAGAGATGACCTTCAGTTTGGCTGTTAACCAAACCATGACAAATTTTGAGTCGGTAAACACTGAGTAAACTAGTGTGACTGCAGCAGTTTACCCACGGCACAGTTTCTCCTTGAACTCTCTTTTTTTAAAGGCAGCTTCTGCTCTGCCTTGACTAATGCGTGTTGTTTTTTTTTTACTTCTAGTTTTGCTTTTCATTAATCTTTAGGTCCATTTTTCTCGATGTGTGTTCTGGGAGCATCTTTGATGTCAAAGCATTTTCATGGTACTATGAAGACATCATTGCCTTTTTCACTCTCATTCTTTCCCACGTGTACAGTGCAGTTTTCCAGTGAAACCATGTGACGTTGATGGTGTAATTGCTTTCATGGTTGATGGACTGTGGAGAGTCTAGCTGTCTTCTGTTAAGCCAACATTAAAAATATTTGCAGAAAGTGTAAACATTCCCACTTTTCACTGATTTTTCATTTTGACAAATGTGGTAATTTTGTATTAAATTGTCACTTATACTGACATAATAGATTTATTGTTTAAATGAATTAGTAAATAAATATTTTTGAATGTTCTCAGTTGTAATTTCTAATACAATGAATATTGATGATATAAAATAGATTATAACACAATAAATATTTATAAATATAGATATTACATTTCTAATACCATAAATATTGTTATTTAAATGAATTTGTGAATCAATATTTTTGATGTTCACAGCTGTGATTTCTAATGCAATAAATATTGACAGATACAGCCTAGCAAACAAAAGCTTTGGGGAATCCCCAAATATTTTTAAGAGTATGAGAGCATCCTAAAAATCAAAAAGTTTGAGAACCACTGCTTTGAGTTTTTAAGAGTGGTATTTTATTCAGCATTTTACCTAAAAAGTAATCCAGATTCTTTATTGTGACAAGTCTGAATTGTGTATATGTAGGATGCAAAGATGACACATTCTAATTTGTCCCCGAATCACTCACCTTGTGAAGAAGGGAGCGCAAACCCCCCAGACATGAAAAGAACTTCACAGCCGACGTCCAGAAGTCTCAGTCTTCTGGATCTGATGGTAGAACTTCTCCCACAACAGGTAATTATACAAAAATCATATTTTTTACCAAAAAATATCAAGATTGGACAATCAAGTTATGAAAGAAAAATAATGGAAGGAATGATACGGATGGACAGAGAAGCGCGGCGTGCTACAGTCCATGGGGTTGCAAAGAGTCGGACACGACTGAGCGACTGAACTGACTGATACAGATACTTAAACCAATCAGTCAGCCCTTCCTTCTTCCCACTGCTTCGTTCTGTCTTTTCTTCATCATCTAATTCCCATAAATCAATAGTAAGATAACATAGTAGGACTAAAAAAATATAAGAACTTCATGCAAAACCCGTCCCTCAGTACTTTCCACGTGTTAGGAAAGTGCAGCTTTGGGGCAGGGTGGGCAGTGTGGAGCTGTGTACATGGGAAGAATGAAAATGAAGTTAGTGTCCAGTGAGTTTCAGACACGGCCTCTCAACCTCTTGGCTGTGTGACCTGGCCAAGGAAATTTTCCTTTCTCAGCCTTAGCTGAAGTGGTATTCGCTGCTGCCCTGGGAAGTGACAAACCCTATGTCTTAATGAGAGCACATTTGAAGGGCATGACGCTAGGAACAGCTTCTCAAATTATTGAACTCTCTTTCTTCCTCTTCCCTCTGGTTATTGTACATTTCTTTGAGCTTAAGTGCACTCCTCTGAGCCAAAATTTGGCAACGTGGGTTTGCTGTGTTCCTGATCTGACACAACCTTTATTCCTATTTTCTTTCAGTTAAAATTTGTTGAATGCTAGCATTTATTGAAGGCTGGAAACCAAGCTAAGTAATTTTAGTGGAGATCACAAATTGACGGCCCATAGACTGTATCCACCTGAAGCTCTGTCTTTAAAATGTTTGAATTTGCATGTGTCACCAACGTTTCTTGCTGCAACCTTTTCCATCACCCCTGGCCCTCAGACATCTTTCTCACCATACTTGATTGGTTTCCTCCTGTCTCAGTGGCTGCTGCTGTTCTTTCTCAGTCTGATTTGCTGGCTGCTCCTTCTCTCCCAGACCCCTCAGTGACGGAGTGAGCCATCAGCACAGGCCAAACAAATACCTGTTTGCTCAAGGCTTTAAGCTCAGAGACTTGATATGTGATATGCCCTCTGCTAATACAGGGTAAGCCTCTAATAGGCACTGGACAAATATTTGCTGGCTGCCCACCCTGTCCTTGGAGGCATTTAAATTGACCCTGCTTTTCATGGGTTATCTCATTCAACTCTTATACCATTAAAAAAAGTATATTATCAGACTTCTATTTTTTTAACGTGGCAAAACAAACAGGCTTAGAACAGTTGAGTTTCTTGTTCAAAGTCTCACGTAAGTTAAGTGGCAGAATGAATTTCCATTCCATTTCAGAGCTGCAACAGATGCTTTCTGCTGTGCTCAGTCGATCAGTCGTGTCTGACTCTGTGACCCCATGGACTGCAGCCCACCAGGCTCCTCTGCCCATGGGATTTCCCAGGCAAGAACACTGGAGTGGGTCACAATCGCTTTCTCTAGGGGATCTCCCCAGCACAAGGACTGAACCCATATCTCCTGCATTGGCAAGCAGATTCTTTACCACTGAGCCACCAGGGAAGCTCTAAGTGGCAGAACTCAGATCCAAACCCAGGTAGTCTGACCTTTGACCCTTGGGTTACAAGGGTCTTCATTGTGCAGGTACAGTGTATAAGTATCTTCATTCTGGGGGCCACTGAAATAGCTAGAGGCTCAATATTATTAAAGATGTCTGAGTGTCAGATATAACAATTAGTCTAAAATTTGGATTTGTAAACTGACTAAGCTAAGAGGAGATGTATCTATGAGTGTGTAGTCATGTATAGTTATTATCAATCTGTATTAACTTCCAGCAATTATCCTAATTTGTCCCACTTAAAATTTATATGCAAATGTGAATCTAGATGAATTATTTCCACATTAACCTGTTACTAGATGTCTTATGATGAGTAACTGAAGAATTGAGTTCAATATTTTTCTTCCTTCTTTGGTTTGGCCTCCTCTTTTGCACGGCACATTTAATTTGTATTCTTTCCTTCATCCTTTTAATTTTACTGAAAACTTTTTAATAGAGCTTCTCAAAATGTTACGCTTAGGACATCATCAATCCTGATGCTGAACATTTCAAAGAGAATGAGAAAGTTAGTGATGATATGCCACATAAATTGAAGAGCTTTCATCTTAAAAAGAAAATTTTAGATAAAGAGGTATGTATTCTTCATTCTAAAAATTATATCATTTTTAGTGAAAAAAGAAGTTAAAAAAAGCTAGTGTAAAAGTATAAAGAGGCTCCTAAAACTTTGGATTTTTTAAAATAATTATTTCAGGGGACAAGATTAGCTTTACTTTGACTCTAAGGAGGCCTTTTGTTCAACACTTGACTTGTTTTATAACCTAAGTATGTATTAGAAAATCCCATTCATTTACCCAAAAACTGGTATGAGTATCTTTTCACTTTTGTATGGTACCACTGATTCCTGAAGATAAGTATATTTTGACATTCCTATAGGGCTTCCTTGATAGCTCAGCTGGTAGAGAAGTCGCCTGCTGTGCAGGAGACCCCTGTTCCATTCCTGGGTCAGAAGATTCCCTGGAGAAGAGACAGGCTACCTATTCCAGTATTCATGGGCTTCCCTGGGCTCAGACAGTAAAGAATCCACCTGCAATGCGGGAGACTTGGGTTCAATCCCTGGGTTGGGAAGATCCCCTTGAGGAGGACATTGCAACCCACTTGAGTATTCTTGTCTAGAGAATCCCGTGGACAGAGGAGCCTGGGGGTCGCAGAGTCAGACCCTACTGAGTGACTAAACACAGCACATGGTTATTACAAACTTTATCACTTGGAATAGTGGATACATTGGAAACAGATTTTATTTCTCAAGTGAGACAAGTAAGGGAGAGGCCCTTGGAACCTCTTCAGTCAGTCTGTTCCTGGTTAGTGGTGAGAGGTGGAGAGAGGATCAGCAGAACCAGTTAAGTGCTGTTGTTCAGCTGCACAGTCGTGTCCAACTCTTTGCGACCCCATGGACTCCAGCACGCCAGGCTTCCCTGTTCATCACCAAATCCTGCAGCTTGCTCAAAGTCATGTCCATCGAGTGAGTGATGCCATCTAGCCATCTCATCCTCTGTCATCCTCTTCTCTTCCCGCCTTCAGTCTTTCCCAGCATCAGGGTCTTTTTTAATGAGTCAGTTCTTTGCATCAGGTGGCCAAAGTATTGGAGCTTCAGCTTCAACATCAGTTCTTCCAGTGAATATTCGGGATTGATATCCACTGGTTTGATCTCTTTGCAGTCCAAGGGACTCCCAAGAGTCTTTTCCAGCACCATAGTTCAACAACATCAATTCTTTGGCACTCAGCCTTCTTTATGGCTTCCCTCGTATCTCAGTCAGTAAAGGATCTGCCTGCAGTGCAGGAGACTGGGGTTCGATCCATGGGTTGGGAAGATCCCCTGGAGAAGGAAATGGCAACCCACTCCAGTATCCTTGCCTGGAAAATCCCATGGACAGAGGAGCCTGGTGGGTTGCAATCCATGGGATCTCAAAGAGTCGGGCACAACTGAGCGACCTAACACTTCCAGCCTTCTTTATGGTCCAGCTTTCACATCCATACATGAATAATAGAAAAACCATAGCTTTGACTAGATGAACATTTGTTGGCAAAATAATGTCTCTGCTTTTTAATATGCTATCTAGGTTGGTCATAGCTTTTCTTCCAAGGAGCAAATGTCTTTCAATTTCATGGCTGCAGTCACAATCTGCAGTGTTTTTGGAATCCAAGAAAATAAAGTCTGTCACTGTTTCCATTGTTTCCCCATCTATTTGTCATGAAGTGATGGGGCCTGATGCCATGATCTTTGTTTTTTGAATGTTGAGTTTTAAGCCAGCTTTCTCACTCTCCTCTTTCACCTTCATCAAAAGGCTCTTTAGAAAAAAGTCAAATAAATAACCTAACTCTACACCTAAAGCAACTAGAGAAGGAAGAAATGAAGAACCCCAGGGTTAGTAGAAGGAAAGAAATCTTAAAAATTAGGGCAGAAATAAATGCAAAAGAAACTAAAGAGACCATAGCAAAAACCAACAAAGCTAAAAGCTGGTTTTTTGAAAAAATAAACAAAATTGACAAACCATTAGCAAGACTCATTAAGAAACAAAGGGAGAAGAACCAAATTAACAAAATTAGAAATGAAAATGGAGAGATCACAACAGACAACACTGAAATACAAAGGATCATAAGAGACTACTACCA